AATGTCCCCCTTTTAAAGTTTAATTGTGTCATAAAATAGTAAAGGCAAAGACAATTAAATTCTGTCAGTGGGACCCTAAGGGAGAGGTGAGGAGGCAAAGAAGAATGGGATGGTGGAGTCACAATTACAAGGGATGGCGACAGCCAGAGCAGTTCTGATGCCCTGGGGAGTTTTTCTCCTGATGGGCTGAGGCTGTAATTGGCACATCATAACCTTTTCCTTCTCAGCTAAAGAGAAAACAGGAGACTGTACCTAAATGATCAAGCTGTAGCTAATTGATTTTCAACTAATCTAAGCCTCCAGCTATGAAGAAACTAGGACCAAAGACAGGAAGGGTGGGGGCAGTAAGAAGAAGGGTGCCAAGAGAGCCTGGGGCTAGAGGGACTACAGAACTAAAGAGGAAAGGCCCCCCAAAAAAGAGGGGGGGGTTGTGGGGGGAGGGGAAGAGAAGAGAGGGGGAGGAGAGAGGGAAGTGATACTTTTTTTAAAAAATGGAAGAATGAAAGGGAACAGGAGGTGGTGTGTGAGGCACTCCTAGGCCTTTCTAGAGGATGTTATCATATCTTCTTATTTCCAGCTGTTACTTCTTATTGAACTTTTAAAACTGGCTATTTGTGAGTGACCATTAAAATATGCAAAACTCTTTTAATTAGACTATGATGATAACTGTCTCTGTAGCCCGGCCCATCATTAGACAATAAAATAGCTTAAAAGGAAAATAAGAATCCCTTTGGTCACATTCATGAATGCAAAGTGTTGTTGAAGTGAGAAAAGGGTCTCCACCCCAGAAACTGATTTTCTCATCAAAAGTTAAGAGTTTTAAAGAATTTTTTAACATCCATTATTAGTATTTGTGATTTCAGACATAATCTATGAATATGCATTATTCTGGCTTTTTAGATCATCTTTCCTCTCATCTCATTCCTCCTCCATCAAAAAAAAAAAAATCTCGCATGTGTTTATGGGTGTGTTTATGTTACACAAGTGTTAATAACCCTGTTGGAGAGACTACATAGATAGGCATCTTTAGGTAGATCTGTATATAAATTCCTCTCCATTGGGCACTTGAGTCAGCCAAAAACAACAATAAATATCAATGATGTCTTTCAAATCTTTCAACTGAGTACATAAGCATTTTTTTTCTTTCAGTTCCAGGAGAGTTTAATGATTTGAGGAAGTAAGAGGAGAAGGGTTTAATTTAAAGTTTTGAAAGCATGTTTTTCTGTTTCATATCTTAACATGCTAAATATTTTGTTACAAAATGAAAAAATTTAAGCATTACATTTATATACTTTTATGCTTGAGAGTTAATATATATTCTTGAAATATATCTAAGAAGTACTTAATCCAAGCCAACTGACCATTGGGTCAAAATCCATTAATAAACCCAAAGTTCATTTTTAACAGAGAAATACATGTAGACTAAGAATAATATGAAAATAAATTTCCTATGTTTACTGTCTTTTTTTATTTTTGTAATTTCCTCTAAAATATCTACAATGTATGTCCTTTTAATTATCCTATCACTAAGTAATCAAATATTGGTTTTTAACTGAAAGATCTTAGAAATGCTCATGTTTATTATGTAAACAGGAGATATACTTAAATGTTGCAAGTAAATTACCCAGTTCTTCCTTTCATTTGCATATGTATTTGATATATAAACTAACATTTAACATTTTTAAAGAAAAGATGGTTAAAAAAGAACAAATTTACCAGAAAGACATTTTTGTTACTAACAAAATAATGTGGTATTGACTAAGAAAAAAATTGCACTGATATTCAAGATTGTGAGACAAAACAGAGAAATCAACCTGTAAAAACTAAATACAATGAGACTGACAAAAGTTGGTCTAAGAATAATAAAAACAGTGCAGAAAGTTTCTCTTCACACAATTAATAACTGGTATTTGTTTCTTTAAAGTGAACAAATCACTACAATAATTTAAAGGTCAAATAATGTGCTCAGTTTCATAGTTAGTAGTTTGTATTGACCTTAACAAAATTGTTTTACATTTTATTTTTTCTTTTAGTAAACTCTAATCTATTTCTCACTTATGAAGACAAAACTAATCTCATCTGAAATTTTAAAAATAGATATTTTGCTAAATATGATTCAGAGTTTCAATTAAGTTTAATTGTTTCTGAGCAAAAGTTATGTTGAAAGAAATATCTTTCTGAATGACAAGATAAGTGTAGAAAATTCATTATTTAACTTGAAAATGATATATACAAGCCTTAATAAAAAGGATGCTACTAGATTCTTTTTATATAATTCATCTTATTATGGGGAAAGTCAACTGATTCTTTAACATATTTAAATATCCAGGTGACTTCCTCAATACAAATCCCTTGCCTATTGCCAATTTGATCATTTGCCCTTAGTTCCCACCATATATGTATAATAAAATCATTGTGTCTAAGAACATGAAACAAGTTGCAAATAATATTTGTTAATGAATGTTACATTAAGACACTCTGATATTCTTAGTGTAGCTAATAATTATACTATACTGTTACCTTTTCTAAGTATGCTTTGACCTGTTTTATTACAGAAATGCAAAAGTTAAAGCTTTTTACTAAGTAGCGACAGGTTGCAAGTTGGAGATATACTAGAAGGCATGGGCTAAGGGTAATAAAATAAAATTGTGGTTCAGTTTTCCTCAGAGACGACTAGGAGAAACTCAGTACCAGAACCAGTTTATCAGCAATTTCATGTGAGACATGTGGTTCGGAATTATTAAATTAACTATATATATATACACACACACACACACACACACACACATGTGTGTGTGTGTGTGTGTGTGTGTGTGTGTGTATATATATATATATACATATGGCTCATTATTGAAGATAAATCACTGCTCAGCAGTTCAAGCATGATAAAAATAAATAAATAAAATGCTCTAAAGTTTAAATCCAATGTTGTTTCTTTAGATTAAAATGAATAGTTGCATTTTATGGTATAGTTAATAAACTAGTTTATTATTATAATCCAAATAATATAACCAAAATTTCATTACTTTCAAAAAATAAGCATTTTTAAATGATAAAAGTGGTTCTAGAAGTCACTGAATAAAACTGTTTATTGTTTTGGGTTTTGTTATTCTATGTAGATTTATAAAATGTAAAGGCACACAGGTTCAAAATCATACTTAATTCCTTTCTAAAAACAAATACACTTGTGAATAATCAAATTATTCAAATATAATAAAATTTATTATTAGGACAGGTTCGTAACTGAGCTATTGTTTTAAATTATTTAATATAACGCATTCTTCTGTGTCAGATTTTAAATGACCTGAACTGATTTTTTTCAGTGATTTATTTTGTGACTATGTAAGTCATACTAGATTGAGACTTTCTATTAAAACACTGCAATTAATTTAAATTATTAAATAATGCTTTAGAAATAGCTACTAAGTAAAAATATACCATGAGCTACATTTGCATGCCACTTATACTGTGAAAAAGTAATCAAACTAATTTAGAATTAAGCTATATTTTAATAGCTCGAAAGTTCCAAATGAAATCTGCTAATTATATGTTGAAGAAAGTGTCCACAACACCTGATTAAGGCAACCAATGATGACTTACTAAAAGTTAATAATGAGAGCTTTGTCTCTAGTAACATGAAACATATGATTTATTAAGCACCTTATCCTTCATGCTAGGGCTGCTGAGAGCACGTGAGCAGAGCACATTAAGCAACATATATCATACAAGCATCATGTGTTATTAGGATTTGCTGCTATCTGACTTTTCAAAGAATATTTTTGAAATATTATACAAGGAAGTTTCTAATTAAGTGTATAATCAAATATGTCAATTTTAAGTCAAAGTAGATTTCATGTATAAAGCAAAGTTTTAAAAGTTCTTACATTAAAATGTTCTCAGTTCTTTCAAGTTGATTAAATTTGTTGATAAATTTTTAGTCTTTAAAAATAAATGTATTCTATGTTATTATATTGAATGTCTGAAGATAATAAATTTTCACCTTTGGTCTCCATTAACATTTAAAGAAAATCACAGAACTTGTTTAACTATTTTAAATTGGTAAACTCTTTCATATTACTGCAAAATGAAATACTAGTATAAGGCATTAATATACCGTTTGATATTTTCAACATTTTAAAACTACCATGAAAGTACAAGCACTAAGTAAAACATAATTTTTAAAAATTATTCTGTAATAATGTTACTAATTAAAGAATTTCAATTAATTTTTTTATCTCAAATAAAAAGGAAAATTGTGTATAGATAAAGACCTTATGGCATGATTTACATTTCTCTTGCTTCTGAAAAAAATCAAATAGGTATATTTTATCATCAAAGAAATGTTAGATTGAAACCTTTTTTCTAAAATATTTTTCAGAGAATTTCAGAATCTCTCCCTGAAGCTATTTGATAATGATCTTTTACAATATTATTTGATCTTATTTAATTTCACATCAATATTTTCACAGTAGCTGCCTCCCCTGAATGAGAGCTTTTAAGTAGCATATAAATATATACTTACATGTTTTGTAAATTACTAACCAAAAAATGGTTCAGAATGTCAGTTTTACTTTTCCATCTGCAAATGTTTTTTAAAAGTATTATTATGATTATTATTTTGCCCATAGCACAGCTATCCTCAGAAAGTCTCCTTTTTTTTAGATTATTGCCTGTTTATTCATACATTTATACATTAAGCAACTCTGAAACTTTAACAAGATCTGAAAAGTCCCAAATCTACCCTAACTCTAAATGTGTAATTTTAGCTTTGTACATTAAAATTAAATAAATATATATAAATATATATATACATATATGACTTTGTTGCCTTAAGGCAAAATCTTATATTGCCTCCATGAAAGAAAGGAAACAGCAGCTGGAGAGGAGAGTTATAGAAAATGACTTTATGTAAACATGACCACCTACCAGGCAGCTACTTCACCATTAGTAAAACTTCCACTTTGAAATCACATAGATTAACAAATAAACGAACAACATACCTAAATTGACAAAGCTCATGACCATGTCAGCATCATTCAGAAAGTTGGTATCATGTAGGCTGGCTAGAGGAGGACTCTGGGTGGTCAAGGGAGTCGTTCGAGATAACTGTATGCGACGAGGATACCCATTGGGAGAGGCTGGGTATCCCTTTCTTGCCCCTCTGGTCTCTCCTGCCAGGGATGCCCTCACTGAGTACTCAGACTCTTCAGGGTTTTCTTCATTGGCCATAGCATTGTACAGGTCCAGCATAAAGAGAGGTGCAGAGGAAGCTTGCTTTCCAGGTGAAAAGGGTCTGGGTCTGTGAGGCAAACCCAAGATAGAGAGAATTTCCCTCTGTATTTCCCGTCTTTCGTGGTTCCGTAGTCTTCTATAAATAAAACTGGAGTGAACATGATTATCTCCCAAACCTCCTTTTGCATAGCCCAGTAGGACCCAGCAGCTCCAGAGGAAACCCACAATACCCCTAAGTAAAAATACAGTCAGATGCATTTTTGTCCAAAAGCAAAGTTGGTATTTTCTGTCCTTCTTGTCCTCTTAAAAAAAATAATAATAAGTTTCTAGGAGGTACAATTTCCCAGTAGCGGAAAAAACAAATTTACCTATTCTTCATGACAGTGACATTTCTGAACACAACATCCTCACTGATTTTCCTGCCCTATTTTAAATATTTTGGAATATGTCAAGAGTAGTTATTTCTAAGAAAGCTGAAACTCGGATTTCCAATTATCCACAGTTGTTAAGAGTTTTTGCTGCATTGATGTAGCAGAAGACGGCTAATATTATTTGATCAGATGACCTAGGCATTCCTATATGAATTTATGACAATCAGGCCTTTGGTATTTGAATGAACGAAAGTTGATCTTCTGATAAACTGTAAGTCCCAAAGTTCTCTTCATTTGCTCTTGAGTTCTTCTCAACCCTTGCGCTCTTTCCAAGACAAATCCTGATTTCTGAATCACAGATCTACGCTGATCTGCACCTTGGTGTTGGAATATATATTTGTCCGGCAGCTTGGTGATAACTTTAACATCTTTTGTGTCGTCTTAGTGTAAAATAAGACTCAAGGTTGTACTATTCAAGTAAATGTGTTTCCCTGTATTTACTTGAAAACCTTCCTGTAAGTCCATTCAATCCCTTTCTCCTTCTTACTGTTAATTCCACCTCCAGCAGGCACAAATATACCAGCCCTCTTCAAGGGAGATCTAAAGAGTAATGTAAGCACAACCCTGCTGGGAAAGAAGAGGCTTCTCATTGTAATTTGAAACTGGTAAAGCAAAAAGAACTTAACCCTTTTGCTACCAGAAAAGCCTCCATTTTTGCAATTTTATAGCCATGCATCTCACATAGCACAGTGATGAATGGGGCATATAAATTCTAGGGGGGGGGGGAAAGCCAGTTTACAAGCAGCAGATTGAAAAATGTGTCACCAATTTTATATAGGACTCTTTTAGATCTTTCTTTTAATAATACACATTTAATACACTTCTATATTAAGTCTCAGGTTGTGGATAAATTAGCATGATACGTCTCAGTTTTATATTTGAGGTTGTTTCTGATTTTTATAAGTTATTAAAGTTTACTTCTTAAAAAATAGAAGAGTTGTAAATTGAGATTAATTTGTTGTTTCTTATGACAGCCAGATCTTTTTAGAATAAAATACATGAGAGAATTAATCACCAGTAAATACACTCTAGCTCTCAAAGCAGTAGTTATAATAATTCACTAATGGTGATTAGATAGCCCGGCTTTAATGGTCTTTAAATATAAAAATTTTAAGCACAGAAGTATATTCATGTTTCCCTTATTAAGTCCGTACAGTTGAAATGCAAGTCAGTGCAAACACCCTAAGATATATTGTCGAGATTCTTAACTTTTAAGCCGTTTGAGTTAAAATGCAAACAGACTTACAAATTAGATACTTCCTATTAATTGTACTCACCACTTTGATTTGTTTTTCCCATGCAAATAAACATAAGTCACATATTCTTCATGACTACATGCAGATTGAAATTAGCCTTGTTAAAATTTGATGGGCATAATGGGGAAAGTGCACACCTTTCTAAAATACCATACTTAATCCGAGGAAATGAGCAAAGTACGTGTTTATCCTTAATATTTAATGCCTTTAAAATTTGGAAGTCTACAATGTTTTTGTGCAGCTATAATTTTCCTTACAAGCTCTCACTTAACCTTAGGACTCACAGTACTTTCATTGTCTGGAATAGTATTCTGATACCAGTGTAGATTTATCAAGCAAATTCTAGAACTATTATGAAATTTTACTGTTTTTCCTTTACCCTGCCTAGAAGTGCCTGGCTTCTTGTTTAATTTCTTTAAAAAATATTTCTCGTGTCTAAAGCAAAGCCATATTTCTCACAAATCTTCAGTATAAGGGCTTGAGGAATCTTACTGCATGTGTCATTTTTTCTTACACAAACTCACTGCACTAAAATTTGATGATGCTGTTTAATATCTGCCTTACTGAAAATTCTTTATTTAATCGTCATTTCAAATGCCACAGTAAGAGACCCAAATACTGGCATACATGGATTACCTCTATAAAACTGATATCATTTGAATAGCAGGAGTACAGGTTGGAAGTAAGTAAAAGAATACCATTTCAATAAGAAATGGTTTAAACCACTAAATTGTTGACAATGTTTATTTCATATCTAAACCAAACGAAGAGGTTTTTTGTTTTTGTTTTGTTTTTTGGTCATTGGTGCAAATTCAAATCAAGCACTTTGAGACAAAACTTCGCTGCATTTATAAAACATATCCCAGAGAAAGCATACAACAGTTTTCCTCCATATTTTAAAATAAATTATCAAGGTTATAAATTTGTTTTATGTCTCTACAACACAGCATAGAGATACAAGTAAAAACTGGCCACACTACAAGAAGCAACAACTCTTATTACCTTCCACTGTGCTGATTTTTTTTTCCCCTTAAGATACAAGAGAAAAATAAAAATGAGTCTAGGTGTCACATGTCTCAAAAATTCATTTTCTTAAATCGTGATTTATAATGTCAATCAGTGTAATTGTAACTTAATTGCTTAACCAGGCACATAGCCTACCTCTATATCGCAAATCAGTTGCTAATATTCTTGGTCAGAATTTTTAGTATCCACCCGCCTGCCCCCTACCTTTCCTTCCAACTGAGACTAGATTTGGCAAACATTAATTTTTCAAAAGCATCAACATGTGCAATGAAAGAAAGAAAATAAAGAAGACAAAAACCTGCCAGGAATAAAGAGGAAATGCTAACCACCAAAGGAAATGTCAGATTCATATTCAATTAAAAGTAAACGTGTTTCACCACATCGTTTGGATTCCCAGGTAGATCTGTATCTAAGTATGTGAGAGCAATTTGAAAGATAAAGTATTTTGCAACTGCACTGTATAAACCTTCCAAATTTCAGAGCATGTACTTAAAAGCTACATAAGTCATGGAACATATTGAATAAAAAATACACGTAGAGAAAGAAAAACTTAGGAGAAACACCCAAGGCATCACCAGAATTATTTCAAAATAGAAGTACATTTCAAAAAATGGAGGCCTCATAAAACCCACCTTTCTCAATATACTATTTGCCTGGGGTATATACTAATATAAGTGACCTTCTGGTGGGGAACAGAGACAATTGAGCCCACATAAGAAGTATTTCCCCACTCTCATTCTTTCTGCTCAATGTCTTTCTCTCACCAAAATTTGACACATTTTGGTCCTTGAGTATGTAAACCAACTATGTCCAATAGACTGATTTCATTGTTCCCCAGCCCTTCAAGGCTGAAAAAGTTTCTTCTAAAACTTGCTCAACAGAAAGTTTCAGCATTTGTAAATCTCTTTTGTTCTGGAAGTGTCTTTCTATTTCACCTCTGGTTTTTCTTTTTTCTTTTTATTATTTTTTTTCCTGTTGTATTGGTTTCTCCATGAAACAAAAGTTTCTAATTGAAAGAGCTAACTGCAGTGAAAGAGAGATAACCAGTATAAATGGTATCTTATCTGCATTCCTTAATTATTTTTCGTTTGGAAAACAATCCAAAATCATTTGCATATGATCATAAAATTCTTAAGCAAAAGCCATCTTAGATTGTGTTGGAGGAGTAAGGGGAATGGGTGGGAAGGAGACCACTTAGGAGCTTGAAGAGGCTGGTGGTAAGGGGAAAATTCAGGAAAGACATCCCCTTCTAGAATCTTTCTGGTGAGTGCATGCAAAAGTGCAGAGCAGAGCAGCATCGGTGATATTCAGTTGCCTTTAGTTCACTCTTCTTTTTAATGAGCCCCAAACATAGCACCTATAAACAGAGAATATGGTTTGCATAGCAGTGGTCCAAAGGGAAGCAGAGTGGTGCCACACCACCACCATCTGACTTAGATTTGCCTGCTGTAACCTGAAAAAGGTCATAATTGGGACAGTCTGCACTCTGTCTATCCGATTAATAGTTAAGGAAAACCCGGACATGAATAATAAAATACAGTCACCAAAAACTTCTGAAATGTTTGGTATTGTTTTTAATAGATGATAACATTAGTGAACAGTTTTAAGTGAACAGAGAATTTTTCAATATGTTTTGTATTACTGTATGTTCCTAAGATTGTTTTATATTATTTCAAGAGAGTGGGTATTCTAATAGGTACTAAATACTAATATTAAAGGGAGACTAAACAAATATGTAATCATTAAAAATCAAACCCCTTAATAAAATGCCAGCCTAAGGATTGTATTGGGTTGTTGGAAAAGTCATGATGCATTTTTGCAATGAAAAACATAGAAAAAATATGTCATAACTTTTCCAACAACCCAATATTTGACAAATAGACTCCAATTAACTGACCCCAATCAAATTATTAGAGCAGATGTTTTATGCATCATCCACATTGACTTATTTAAAAGAGTATTTTAAATAAGTACTTGACCATTAAGCCATTATGTAAGTAACCATGAAAAAATACCTTCATTTGTAGAGTCATTTATAATTTTAAAAGCTCATTCACAACAACCCAGCATTTGAATTTATTCATTTAACAAATATTTACTGAATGCCTACTATGTGACCCCTATGTTCTATATGCTTTAAATCTAACAACAAAAACATTCAAACAAGATTCTGTCATTATAGAGCTTACCATCAGATGATAGTATCATTTGAATTGATTTAAGGGCATAAAATTATTTCTACTTTTTTTTCCTTGAGAGATTAGCATGCATGCAAGCTGCATGAAAATGGGGGCTGAGTTTATTTTGTTCACCAGAGTCAAACAGTACATATTAGCAACTCAATTAATACTTGTTGATCCACCTATTTTCTTAACAAAGATGAACAATATTCGAGAGATCTCCTTGTTAAAGGAAGTACTCGCTGGAAGCAGAGCTATAAGGATTTGTTAGGCACACTAATTGACACATCGGTTTCTCTTCATGGGTTGGCTCACTCTACCTGCCTTTCATAAGTAAACTTGCCTCTCGCATACATCACCCCACAATTATGAATCAAATTGCTAACTTTGGTCAATACTAGATAATCGTAATGAACCACATGAGGAAAAGCGTTGTGTAATGAATCATATTAGTGCTTGTAAAATACCTTGATCTGTCATTACAGGGAGAGCAGATTACATGATCGCCTACTGAATTCTAGTGGCCTTTGATCTCAAAGAGCAACTTCGGTTCCTGTCAATTAATACTTCAGTTCTTTGAGTTGTAATGGTTTGTTTGTTTTTATTTTGGGTTTTTGGTGCTGTTTTTATGACTCCTATTACAATGCAAGAAGCCCTGAAAGTGGCCACTCTTTGTTTAACAAACATTAGCAATTAACACCACATCTGCTAAAGCTCAAGCAAGTATAGAGTAGCCTCTCCTTCTCTACAGGGATATGTTCCAAGACCCCCAGAAGCCACCAGAGTACCAACCCTATAGGTGCGATGTTTCTTCCTATGGGTGCATACCTATGGTGAAGTTTAATTTACAAATTAGGCACAGTAAGATAATAACTAATAATAAAATAGAATAATTGTAACAATAAACAGTAATAAAAGTAATGTGAATGTGGTGTCTCTCAAAATATCTTGTTGTACTCACCTTTTCCCTTAAAGGAAGCACTTCCAGCTTTTCTTTGGCATATTCGAATTACCAGCATGTAATGTCCCACTAACACAAAACTCCTCAAACCAGGTTGCACGTTAT